CAACCTTGGGCTTAAATAATAGGAAATCTATAGTTCAATTGTTAAATTCTCCTTATTCTTCATATTGGGTCGGGGCAAAGGTTGAAGTTTGTCTATTGTGAATTGATGAGTGTATTGTATTGTTGTTAGGGGATGAATAATTTTTGGAAGATGAGAGCACAATGATATTCGCAAAAAAATGTAGCTAATCATTACAGCACAAGGAGCAATTAGACGTTGGAAGAGCGAGAAGCAAGCCCAATTATTCATCTTTTAAAAAAATAGTTAATCATGATGCAGAAAAATTGCTCCTAACAAGTTGTTTTATAACTTCTTGTTCTAATCATCAGATAAAGAGTATTTCAATTCAGTTATATGTGAAAAGAGGAGACACGGTTCTTCATTTCGCTTGTGGAAAGGCAGTGTATGAGTGGGATTATGTGGGATTATTTAGTGTTTACTGTGTGCTTGTGTAGTAATTTAGCATTTTTGGTATCTTTTTTAGTGCACTAAGGTGGTGATATTATCAAATGAGATAAACCAAAGATTATTTACTATGTTGGGAGTTTCTATTCCTTGTAACTTCCGGGCAATTGTATGACTAAACGTGTGTTGCATTCTCTAGGTTCTTTTCTCCTTTCTCAAGCTATCGTCATAATGAATTTTCTCGTTTTTGACACCTTTACATATTTTAGTCCTCAAAAAACAAACTATAGATTATAGCAATAACCTTTTCAATTGATATCATTGTGCTGATGATAGATACACTCATTCATTATTGAAACCTTCAACAGGCTGCAAATATCTTCTGAACTAATAATTGTGGCTGAGATGTAATTGTGAAGTTTCAATTGAACAAAAATATGGTTTTTGTAAGCATTTCTCTCACATAGACGACCATGTATGGGTTGCATAATTAATGATCATTATGATTCACTTCATTTGTACCCTAATCTCATTTAAAAATCTATTTGTTTTAAGATTGATAGTATGCTTACATCTCTCTTAGATAATTCATTCCATAAGGATCCATATTGAAATGATATTGATTGTTGCCTATGGAGGATATCACGTCAGAGGTTGAGGAACTGGTGGCAGTTTCAGCTTACCATGGATCCTTTCAGCCATATTACTTCTCAGATTTGGTGCCAAGTTAGATTTCTTTATTTAGTTCGTTACTGCAGACAAACTGAATCAATGAGAAGTGTATGTTGCCTATGTGTGCTTATGTACTGTTGTTGGAGGGTTCATTAGGGAAACGAGTATATTCTATAACAAGTTTGTTTTCTTTGGGATTTGAGTTGACATCAGTTCATTTCCTATCATTATTCAGAAATCAAAAATTCAATTTACGACCATATATCTCCAAATCCATTTTGCAACTCGGGATTCCTTCCAATTCCCTAAAGCTCCCAAGGTACGCTATGCTTGTTAGTTTTTAATTTCTCCCTGTCAAAATTTGAAATTCTCATTTCCATGGCTTTCCGATTTGTTAATTACTTTCCGCTTTGTTAATTACTTTCCATTTATGATTTGGATGTAAGAAGTTTTATTGAATTGAATTCCACCGGAAGTGAAGAGATTCAATTCCCGTAAAAAGTAATTGATTTCTCCCATTGGAAGGAAGGGATTAATATCTACGTAGACTCGATTGAATTCACGTACAGTGTTGAATTTTCCGTTTCCAATGCTTTCCGCTTTATCAGTTACTTTCCATTTTGATTTAGAATTTATTCGAGTTGAATTCTATCAGAAGTTAAAGGAAATTCGATCTTGCATAGGAAGTAATTGATTTTTCTCTCGACAGCTTTTGGTCGATTTGATTCATTGTAGAAATTGTATTAGTGCTGGTGATCTTTGTTCACGAAAATATATTTCGAATTTAAATCACCGCAAGTGTAAGGTTCGTTGACAAGTAATAAAGTGGAAATTGTAAAAATTTCGAATATCATTCCCACGAGGATTGATCTA